ATACAATTTTTAAGCCAAAGAACTAGGTGATGAAATTCATTGTTCAAATATGTTGATCAAAACTACATTACACTTCACTTCATGTACAAGAAGATCATTCTGGGTACTCATAACCTCACGCCTGAACATCTTCTGCCTCCTCAAGCTCTCAAGGCACGAGGCTAAGAATTTGTGCCTCACAGCTTCCTGTGCGTTGATCCTCAACCTTGGGTTTACTGTCAGGCACTTGTCCACAAGATCAAAGAGTGATCTTGGAATAGGCTTGAAAAACTGGGCTCTTTTTGTGCGAGCCTTGCTCCAACTTTGCAGTTCCATTGATGGCAAGGGTTTGATATCCAATAACTCCTGAACAATCAACAAAATGCAGCAAAAACATAAATGGCAACTCTTGTGTGAAGGAAGTTAAAAAGTTAAGATAACATGAATAAAACTCAAAGCACCCTCGTTTTTCTGATGATACAAAAATAGCAATGCATCTTTCTGTCTGAGTATGAATATGAGATCAGCAAAGAACTGCAATTAATTTGAAGATAGAAAGTATTCAATGTCAAAAGAAGAAGAAAAGAAAAAGAAAAAACTCCATTAAAAAAAATACCACTGGAAAGGAGGATTCACGATCATGTAGCTTGGCCACTTCCCATGAATCTTCACTGCCCTTTAACGTCGCGATGTCTTTTATATTCCTGCGATGATTGTGATATCATACAGCTATATCAGTAAAATGCCGAGACATTGGACTTGTATGGATGATTTTGTTTTCAATTTTTCCTGGAGTATCAGCAATCCTTTTCCTCTGGGAAGAAGTTTTTATTGTACCTTGGTTTGGACTAAGAATCTCAGACTGATCAACTCTTTTTTTCCTAGGCATGGTAGAGGTTCCCTTGCTCTTTCTGTAGATGGAGTCCTGACACTTGTCACATCCTTCGTGGAGGTTATACCTGAGCCATCAGCACCTTGACTTTTAAATATATTCCCACCCCGCTTCCTTGCATCTTTATGTGGGGGAAGGAAGCACATCGAAACAATTGGGAAATTGAGTATTCTGCTAAAAAATTACTTGAACTTTCAATAGATGCACAACAACTGTAGTGATCTTATCTGCTTATGTAAGCATGCAAGGGCTCTAAACATGCACTAGCCATACCACCGGAGCTCGTATAGATCTATTTTTTTCTTCAATACCTAGCAGTTAAGATGAAACTTGAATAAGAGCGAAGAAAGAGATGGTAGTTCTGCTAAACACTGGAGCTAAATGAGGTTTTAATTCGATCACAACTTATCAATACAGAGGTATAAGGAAAATCTGATACAAAATTCTATAGAATGGAACCTTTATTCAGCAATAGTTAGCTGATCAGCTGAAAGAGGCTTAAGTATTGTCAGGTTGTTGTTCTCCAAATGTTTTATTAATAGATAAAAGCTGAACTGAAGCATTTGATACGTACCTCAGGTCTATCTTGCTCAACATGCTCCAAAATAAAGCACTCACTGTCACCACTTTTGAACAGTCATGTAAGCTATTTCGATTATATTTGTAAGCTTGAATGCTCATAAGCTAAGTTACTCATTAATTAACACCATATAAAACATCTGGTTTAAGAAACTGAAACAGTCGAAAAGAGAATGTACATGAAAGATGTATTTCACTTACGTTTAATCGCAAACTTTTTTCCGTCATTCTTTCTCTGGGTCCTGTAAACCTAGATGATTGAGTGTGATATATGGCAGAAAAGCAATCAAAAGTCTGAACATACATAACTCATCAGTAAACCGGACATAGAAATAAATTATGAATACCTGAACTTGTCGAACTGAGGTAGTTGTATTCAGTACTATTCATAGAAAAGAATTTCAAAAAAAAAAAAGAAAAAAAAAAAAGGACCCTAGTACAGCCGGTCGGCTATAATCTTTATACCAAACCCGGATTATAGCCGCGCGGCTAGACTATTTATTAAAACAAAAAAGGCTTAAATGCTAAAATAGTCCCTGTGTTTTTTCTTGTTAGCCAATTTAGCCAATGTGTTTTTCATTTGCCCAATTTGGTCCCTGTATTTAGCACTGTTAGCCGATGTGGCCCATTCTGTTAAAATTGCCGTTAAATAAACGTGATAATTCTTTTTTTCTTCTTCTTCCTTTGAATACCTATAAATTTTGTTGAAATTAATTTATAAAAATTGAATAAATTTAAAAACATATTAAAACTTCATTAGAACTAAAACATAGCATTAGAAAAAATTATAAACTTAATGTAAAATCCAGTGACTAAAAAGTTAATTAACCTAACTACTTGATGGAAACTAAATAAAAATTATAAACTTTTGATAATACAGTGATCAATTTGGCTAAAGTTGTTTCTCAGTAACCAAATTGAAATTTCATGTAAAACCTAGTAACCAAAAATGTATTTAACCCTTTTAAATATTTTTATTCCCAAAACATGTTAAAAGTTTTGTTACCAATGACATTTATTGTGTAGTTTGATAAGCACAATTCGGAGTAACTAGGAATCGAAGTCATTTTAATTAAATTATTTAGGGTTAATCGTTTTATTAGTCCTTGAATTTAGATTCGATTTGCATTTGAGTACCTCAATTTTCAAAATGGTTCCCGTGGTCCTTTAACTTTAGTTTCGTTAAGATAAATGGTCATGCCGTCAATTTTATTAACTTTTCTGTTAAGTGCAGGAAAAAATGGATTTTTTTTTTATCAAAATAGATTAAAATATGAATAAAAATTTAAAACTAAACTCACTCTCTCTCTCTCTCCCCCCCCCCCCC